CATGCTGGAATGTCCCAGAGCTGTGTCACTCTCATTCTGTCAAGCAGAATGAGATAGCACCTCCAACCAGGTGCTATTTCCACAACCTTTTTTCACCCAGGTTTCAGACAAGTTCTTTTTTCTTAAAAAAAAAAAAAAAATCTGACCTCTAAATGATTTCTCTAATTTCATTCTGACACAGGCAGAAGTTCACAGGTCTATATTTCAGAAACAGTTGCAAAGCCCAAGTTGGTGATTCCGGGGCAGACAATAGATTCCCTTTACCACAAACAGAAAAAATTTTTACCTCGGATTCATCTGTGAAAGACTATTAAAAACAAAGTGAACATAATTTCCCAGTGAACGGGCTCTCCACTCTCATCTGCTACATTTCTACCAGGATTTCTGGAGCCAAGAATTCCTTTCTTTACTGTTTCTACACCCAAATCGTTCATCACTTTCCAATATTCCCATGTTTTTGTACTAATGCCATGTAATGTTTACAGGCATATCCAGCCAGATTCACTCGCAGTGGTGAGGCTTCCATTCATATGGAGAAAAATGAGTTGCTACCTCCACAGACAACTGCCACCAAGAAAGGAAAAAGAATCACCACTCTCCAGGTACCCACATCCATAGGTTTTCCACCCAGATATCTAGAATGGAGTCCTCTCACGGAACGCTGTCCCAGGTAAGCGGAATGCTGAGTACAAGTGAGGAAAGGACCCAGGGAGGCCCATGTTGTACCATGGGGATCACTGAGAAGCTGGTACACCTCCATTGGGACATCCTATGGATACCCACACTCACCATGCTCCTACACTGGCCACCGGTCCTATTTGTTCTCCTACAAAATTTCTGCTGTTCTTGATAACAGCCTAGGCAGAAATGGAGGGCCTCATCCCCAGTTCCTCAAAGCCCATCACTGTCTGCATCCAGTTGGTTACCCAAGCCTTCTTAGTTCCTCTCATACTCACACAAGTTCCATAAACACATTCCTGTGTCCTGTTCTCAATGTCACTTGCCTTGGCCCAACTGCATTAGTGACACATCCTCCACCGCTCTGCTGGTCTCCAAACCCAGATCCTTTCCTCCCAATTCCCTCCACTTAGATGAACTTTCTACACCGCTGCCGGAGGCTGACTTCCGGGATGTAGATTAAGTAGGGCATTCTGTGGTGGTCATTCCAATGGCTTCCAGGTAAAAGCTAATCTCTTTCATAAGGCCTGGGGTTGGGTTTCTCCTTTCCAGATTCCCCTTCTCCCACATGTCCTTAACAGCCAAACCACAATATGAACTTGGCTCTACCCATGCATTTATGCATGCCATGCCCTCCACATAGAAGGTGCCTCCTTGACACCTTGTACTCAGCAGGCTTGTAATTTGCAGATTCAGCTCCAGGGCTCTCTACCTCTAAGAAATTTCCTTGACCTTCCTCCACTTTGAATCAGGGCCTTCCTTGGTGCCTGCCTTGACCCAGGGCAAGGCTCTAAGCATATTTTCCAACCATACACCTGCAGCACCTGTTGCTTGCTTGCTCACGTGACAGTGCTTTCTGGAGTCAAGAATGATTAGTCTCCCCAGGGCCTCTCTCAAAAGATGCTCAAAACAGTCCAGTGACTTAAATGGGCACAAAAGTGGCCCTGTGAGTCAGTCATTCTTACTTTCTCATCATCAGCAGCCCTGGAATTTTGACAGGTCTTTAGGTGTTGGGTTTATATATCCTCTGTGAAAACAAGATGCTAACATGAGGGGCCCAAAGGTTTTGTGCAAGCAGAAGGTCAGGGAACACACTTCACTCAGGAGTCAACCAGGGAGACATTGAATCAAGAATTTTTCCTCTGGAGCAAGTTTCAGAAAAGAAAAATGACATCTGAATTTAGAAACACCAAGCAGCAATTTTAGTCCACAGACACACATAGAACTAGTAGCCTCCACAGAGAACTGTCAAGGTGGACATTTTCACATTTCACTTCATTTGCCATTTCTCTTAGGTTACTTTGGAGTAACTGGTCCCATTTTAAAAAAAATTAATAGCCCAATGTCCCTACCTCAAGGGACATTCTACCTGTGCTTTGCATCCAATTTAACCCAGTAGGGTGGTATTAATAAAAGAACACACAAACTAACCCAAGTGGATGATGCCAACATAAAGGAGAGGGCTGGAGTGATGCACATGGAAATACAAATGGCGAGGTAAGTTCTGTGCATATTTGTGACCCAAGAGGCACATTCCTAAGAGATGATTAGTTTCACACCCACTGGTTCATCTATCTAGATGGAATAGAAGGAAAGGATAAACAACAGGGTTTCAGCAAGGTATGACAGCTGAGACCAGAGGGATGCCTCCACATGAAATCTAGTTCAGTTATGGAGACCCTTCTCTTTTCACAAGATGCAGATGACACACATGCCCCAAAGATTTGGGAACTCATCTAAATTCCATGACAGGATTCTGATTCTCACGAACTGGATGCTTAAAAATTAGAGAATCTGCAGCTAGACAATGGCATCCTGAGGTAGACCAGAAAGGGGCTAAAAAACGACTGGGACATCTGCCCAGGGACATGAGTAACAAGAAAGGAAGAAATAGGCCCAGAAGAAGGTGCTAGTTCTTTCTAGAAGTAATTCATTTGATTTCACTCTTTTTCACTAAAAATCTGAATTAATTTGGAAATTAAAACTATCATCTCCTCATGGGTAGAAGGGCAAGCAATAACCTTAGGGAATAGGTAATCTAAGGCTTGCCTTTTGGTCACTCCTAGGAGACCACTGTGAATAAGTGCTGATAGCAGAAGAGTCCTTGGGGCAAGGCAGCCACCTTGCAGCAGGGGTAAGGGTGGGGATGTCTGTGTTGAGTGAGCGTTGGCCTCCAACACCTGGGAATGTCAGCACTGTCGTATGTGGACATTTCTAGTGTCTGACCCTGTGAATGCACTGTACTCACCCTGCAAACAGAACCTGCCTATCTCTAATGCTGCTGATTCTGGTCAGATCTCCCACTCAACTGAATGCAGTAGGAGGGAGTCCAATCGGTCAACAGAAGATAGAAATACTCAGGAAAGGACTATCTCCTCCAGGCACTAAGCACCCGGTTTCTGACCCCCATCCCCTGGGCCTGTTCAGAAGGTCTTGGATCCAAGATCAGGTCTGCGTCAGTTTCTGAATGTGCTTGAGGGGACAAATCTCACCCATTCCCAGGAAAGAAATGGGAAAAAGAAACATACAACCTCTTTCTGGAACTTGGGAGTATCCTGGGTTTTACCCTAAAGTAGACATAGGACATCTTGTTCAACATTTCTTACTCATTTCTCTTAAAGAAACATATCCTTAACCATTTCTCACCTGAGAATGTCAGTATGCAAGGTACATATTAATCTCCTTTGGGAGAATGACTATATGTGCCTGTATAAGGCCTCAAAAGAAAATGAAACAGAAAGTACAAGGAAGGAAGAAAACCAATGTCCAAGCAGCTGACAGTGGAACGTGTGTTCCTCTTATGAGGGATTCAGGTCATGGGCAGGCTCTCAGCCCAGGGCCCTCCACACCCTTTAACACAAAGGCCAATGCCTCTGCCCTAGTTACTGACCAGTACTGTAGCACCGGCTTCTTGGAACATGTCACTCAGACACTCAACTCCACCTTCAAAGAAGCTAGTTGAAAGCAATGCCTCCCTTGCTCCTTATGGTCCTTCCACATGGGTGATGTATAGCAAGCCAGGTTTGCCTACAGCACTGTATAACAGCACCTGACAGCCCTGTCCTCTGGGTCCCCAGCTGCTTGAATACACACATAGCTATGTAACATCAACCGAGCAATGTATATACTAGCGCTACAAAGTTATGACACACCCCCCTCCAAACTGTGAACGTCAAAGAGGACACACACCTTCCTTGTACCCCAAGACAAACATTTGCATCACCAGAGGAGCAGAGAGGGAGATGCATCCCACTTGCTCCAAGTCACCAGCACAGGACTTGCCATGGGTGAGAAGGACCCCAAAGAAGGGCTCAGGGGAAGTGACAGGAGGTAGCTTCAAACCAGCCCCATGTCTCCAGTTGACATACTCTGCTCTTCAGCGCAGCGTTCTCTCATGACTGGCATGCAAGCAGGCCTGAGTATGCCATCTGAGCCAGGCTTCCATTACAGAGGCTCCACCATCACCAGCTATCATGTGCAGGAGAAAGACTGGAAAGAGCCGTAACCCAGGATGACTGACTGTGTAATTGCCAGCAAAGGGCCGCCCTCAAAATCCTGTTCCCTGAAGCGTACTGGTTTACTGTCTCACCATCCAACAGTGTGATCGTGATGTGCATCTGCCCCAAAGGACTCCCCAGCTCTGGAACAACTAGAATCTAAAAATACACAATGCTTGCATCCTCTTTGAGCCTATCAGGGATAACTTGGAAACCATTCTCCCCCAAAGAGCATCTTTAGCAGAGGGTAGATTTATGGTGAAGCATAGGAGCTTGAATGTGCTACACAAAAGGCCTGTATCACCTGTAGGCAAATCTACTATTTTCATATCCCTTTCAACAGACGTGGAGAAAAGAGTCTCGAGGTTTCTGTGGCTATCAGAGAGAAAGGCAGCCAGAAAGGAAGCATGTCTGCTATTATGCATGAAGAGAGGAAGAAGAAAAAGATCCTGCAGTTTGTTTTTTGGAATTACTGACAGGAGTCTGGCCACAGCAGTGAAACACAGGGTTGGAGCAGGCTAGCATCTCTGTCAGCAGAAGATCCTAACATTATAAGTTACGATGCACTTAACTGTCTGCAGGTCAGTACATTGCAAACACAAAGGGGGCACTGACCTCTCTCACCTGGGGCTCCTATTTCCGGGGTTTGGGCAAGAAGCACAGAAAGGGGACCAGGAGCCCTTCCTGCTGTGGGCATCCCTGGAGTCCAGCCAGGAAAGGCTGGAGCAGCACACACAAAGCCCTGGGGCTGGGGGCTGGGCTCCTTGGCTTTTGCTGGCTATCTCTCAGTACCAAATCCCAGTGGTTTCTTGCATAGTCACTCACCTTTCATACCACTACCTTCTTCTTGGAATGTGTTACGAGCAGCGGTCTGATCTTCTAAGTGTTCACTCCCACCACTTCCTGAAGAGGCTACACTGCTTTGTGGAGACAGGGGGGCATGATCGGATGGGAGGCACTGGGATCCTCTAGCTCGTAAGTCCTCATGAGACATCCATCCATGTCCTAGAGGCTGGTTTGGCACATTCATGGGTGGGGTAAGGGACACAGATCGTTTCAAAGGGCTGTGATGTGCCTGGCCTGAGAGAACTGGAAAAAAAAAATAAAATGAAATAGGTTATTCCCCACCCCCCTTTATCTTGGGACACAGAAGAACCCACAAAACCTCTTAACCTTGGGAGACACCACTGTCCTGTGATCCCATTCATAGGCATGGCTGGTGGAAGACAGGACTGGCAGGGCCCTGCTCTTTGGGTGGCTAAAAAATTCTGGGTGGGTTTGGTTTCTTCCAGGAGGCCAGACTTTTGAGTGTTTCCAGCTTGGCCTTGGCCTTCATGGATCTTGGTCTACACTTTGTTCAAATCCCATTTGAAAGCAGGACTCATCCATGGCATGGGAGGTGGAGGCACGCATTCTAGAAATCAGAGAAGGCTGGGCAGCTGGGCACAGTGGCAAACACATGTGTTGGATGATCCCGGGTTTTGGAAACACAAAATCTGACATTACTCTTGTGGTCGGGGGTACTCTCCTGAATGGCAGGTAGGCCAGCCATCATTTGATTTTTGTAGTTTGAAGGTGGTGGTGGGCTGGTCTTTCCAAACAGGAATCCAGGGGTGTTGAGCAGGGGAGCTGTCCAGCCTGAAGGATGGCACAGGCTTCATGAGAGGCCTTGTATTAACACAACCTCAGGGTACAGGATGGCAGCAGCTATTGGTGAAAGGGCCTATTCATGGCCTTGGCCTCCTGGGTTAAAGCCAAACTTGATATTACAAACATTTGGAGGTAACAAGGCTTCCTTTCAGAAGCCATGGGGCACTCTGCTAAGCTGGGCCTGGGTTCTACCAGTATGTTCAGCCCTTCTGCTCCACAGGCACCATTTGCACAGCCCCCATGCTTACTTTCTCTTCCAGAAAACTTAGGAAAAAGCAACAAGTTGTTCAAGGGAGGGATTTAACCCAAATCAACATTGAGGGAGCCCATGTTACCCTTGGGTAGTTTTTCCGGGTGTATGAAGTGACAACATCACAAAGTTAGTCTATTCATAACATTCTCCTGCACCAGTTGTTGGCAGGTCCAGTTTATTTTGACTGCTGCTACACTAACAGGGAATTGAGCCACATGTGTTTTTAAACATTTTTCAGGGAAGCCGTTTCATTCCATCTCAGGCTGTGTCCCCAGCAACGAGGTGTTTGTTTTTCCAAGTCCACATCAGGACTTCTTCACTGGCCTTCACCTTCCTGTGTGTTGCAGGAGGTAGATCAGTCATCCCAAGGGGGAGAGGGGGTTTCCAAAACAGGTGAAACTGCATATTTTGTGCGATCACCTCTACTGAGACACCCAAGCAGCCGATGACTGGTGCACCCTGCTTTGAAAGATAGAAGACTAGAGTTCAAAGGCTGGGTATTTCCAATGGGGCAGTTGTAGTGTGAGGAGGCTGCAGCCAGTCCTGGGCAATAACCAAATCCCAGGAGCAAACTAGCTCATGCCTCTGTGGTCAATGTTTCCACTTGCCCTCACATGGCCAGAACAGTGGCCTTCCTTGGGTGTGAAGGCCTAGAAATTTCTTCATGAATCAAAAGGGAGGCAAAAAGGGAGCTACTGAGTTTTGAATATCTGTAACCCAAATTTCCAATTTTGAAAGATTCTGTCCCAGGCAAAGGACTTGTCATCTAACTTACACATGCAGCATTGTTCAAAAAAACCACAACTGACCTGATAGCCTAAAGGAATTCTCATGCTTATTAGGGTAGACTAGAAACAATTTTAAAAAGACTCCCTGGAAAACGTGTTGCTACCTGGTTGGATCAGAATCAGTAAGAGAAAAAGGGCAGAAAAAAGCAGAGAAGGGGGAAAAAAGGCAGCAGCAGCAGCAGCAGCAGCAATGAAGAAAGAAGCCAATGGGAAGGAAAGTCAAACATCCAGAAAATCCATTTCATGCCTGTCTAAGTATCTGCACAAAATCAGGCCGACCCATTGAGGGCTGCCCTGAGTGCTGGTACTTCCCTCCCAGCATAAACATCTTGGCTTTCTGGGGCCTCTCCAGTGATTTCAATCTCTCTGGTGGATGCTCTGAACAGTGCCAGCCAGGTGTTCCCCCAGTGGAGCAGGGGATGGGCTTGGGCTACGCCTGTAACCACAGAAAGAAGCCTTGCCTGAAGAGGGACACACAGCTCAAGTGCCTGGGATGGTAGCAGTGTTGGAGCGACCATCAACACCTGCATTGATCCAGGGCAATCAGAGAACAGATAACTGCTGGCCATGGAAGGTTGCTGCTAGGGCTATTGAAAACAGTGCAGTACATCACTGGATTGGGCTCATTTCCTTCCTTTAATCTTCTTAAAGTCCACGCTAGACTCTCCTCTCCCTACCTCTGACGGGTACCCCTGGGATAGGAGGGCTCCCTGGTGAGCTGTTGAGATTGCGACTAAATATGGAACTTAATGGACTTACAGGGATTTGTACACAGAAATCTCTACCCCTTTTTTATTTTCTGAGCTGAATTCAAGTAAAAAGGGATATGGCAGGAACCCAACCTTTACCTTTAATGAAAAAAGCCAATCACACCTAAAGTGCAAGGACTTCATGCTAAAGGCCCATGGCTGCTGTCCAGCTCAGGCTGTCTGCCTTGGAGATAGCCTGCTGTCCCCACCAAGCATGATGACCGATGCCCAGCAGAGAGGACCAGGGGTGTAGAGCCAGGCTGAACTGGCCACACCTAAATCATAGCAAAAGCTGCTGGACAAAGGCCCATGTTTCTGCCGAGTGCCCAGGCTGGCTGGCAGTCCAGGCTTGTGTGTCCATGGGAGGAGACTGAAGTAAGTGATGGAGACCTGCCAGCAGTGCCAGGACAGGGAAAAGGCCCATCTGCAGATTTAAGCCATGGGAGGGCCACAGAGCTGACTCTGCTGTTGTCTGTTGGGTTGCAGCACCTTGGCTGGCAAGAAGTAGCAGGGGAAGTCTCAGGTGCTACAGGCAGAGGTTGTGCAGTTCAGGCTGTGCTGCTGCCCAAGTCACCCCGTGGTCAGTGGCAGGCTGCAAAGGTTGTTGCCTGTTTTGTTGAATTAAATCAGCTCAATGGAAGGGTGGACATCGGGGCCATGCCCACTGCTCTGCCCCAAATCTTAAACCTTTCCAATGAGCAGGGAGGCGAGAGCAGCACGAACAAGCTGTGAGAAGCTTGTCAGTCACCTAAGCTGACTCACAAGGAGATCAGCCATGAGCCTTTGGAGTGTTTTTGCTGTCACCTGCCGTGCAGTGGCCAACAGTTCCTCCAGACTTCTGGGGCCCCAAAGTCATACTCAAATGCTGCAAAATGGACTGCACCTTTAAAAAAATGTGCCTGGTGTGGTAGCCTAGAGACTAAAGTCTTTGCCTTGCACGCACCGGGATTCTATATGGGTACCAGTTTGTGTCCTGGCAGCTTCACTTCTCATCTAGTTCCCCCTTGTAACCTGGGAAAGCAGTCGAGGACAACCCAAAGCCTTGGAACCCTGCACCCATGTGGAAGACCTGGAAGAAGTCCCTAGCTCCTGGCTTTAGATTGGCTCAGCTTCGGCCGTTGTGGCCACTTGAGGAGTAAATCAGTGGACAGAAGACCTTTCTCTCTGTCTCTCCTCCTTGCTGTATATCTGGATATCCAATCAAAATAAATAAATCTTTAAAAAAAATCTTCACATAGATTAGGAATGGGCAGGGGCAGGCAGAATGCAGAGGATCCTCAATTTATTCCATATTTATGGCTCTTACAATAGCATAGGTAGAAGGGCAGTATATTTCAAGATGCCTTCATTCCATTGAAAATTAGACTAAAAGATCATGCAGTGGGTGCAAAACTGTGTTTCTTTTTGCTCTTGAAGTAGTGGAACTAAAAAATATTGTGTACAACACTGCCTCTGTATTGCTTATACTTTTAGGAACCAGTGCAAGAAATTTTTTGTCTGTGCACTGATCTACATAGACAGGCATGCTATACACATATGTGTATAAGGCACTGGAATTTCTGGAGTATTTACAAATGCAAGTGAGCCCAAAATAAATAATAAATACTGAGTAAGTCTAAGCTAACATATGGGGGGAGGGGAACAGCTAAAAATAATCTTGCCACAGCAGTCAACATCTGTGAGAGAAGTACAGAGGGTCCTCTAATCTGCACTGAACTTGGTTGGTCACACCATTCAGAGCCATCCACTTTTCTCTGACTTCACCTAATCTTAGGCTTCTTTTTCATTCCCAGAATCTTTAGGGAGAAACTTTCAACACCTTATTTAGGGAGAAATTTGATGCTATGTATTCCTGTTCAGTGTTTTCTTAAGTCTGGAATTAAGATTTCTTTCCCATTGTCCTTTGACCAACCTTGACTTCAGCTCAATTTTTTTCTGATTGAAGTAAGATTCATGTAGTGACTTTTTAAGGACACCGAGTATCTTTGTAAAAATTAAGTCAAACTACCTTTTCTGCCCTCTAACATGTGAGAACAGCGTTTCTGGAAAGAGGAAGCTTTGATATGGGACTTGAGGATCAAGGAGAGAAAGCATTCTCAGAGACAGAGAGCCCAGATACTGAAGCTTGTCTCTTAGACCAAAACTTTGAGATCTTCCAAATATATGTTAGGTACTTTAAACTCTCTGTAACACACTAAGTGCATTTCTGCTTAACATTATTTCTGGGAGAGGTGGTTGGGGCAGGTGAAGCAGCCACCTACAACACTGCTATGCCATATGAGTACCACTTGGATTGCTGGCTGTCCTGCTTCCAATCCAGCTCCATGGCGATGCACCTAGGAAAGCAGAAGATGGCTCCAAGTACTTGGGCCCCTGCCATCCATGTGGGAGACCTGGATGGACTTTCTGGCTCCTTGTCTGAGCTTTTGCCTGGCCCAGGTCTTTGTAGCCATTTGGAGAGTCAATCAGTGGATGGAAGATCTCTTTCTCCCAGACACACTGCTTTTCAAATAAATACAGCAAAATTTTACGAACGGATTTTTGAGTTGGAAGCCTGCTGAAAACCAATATAGTAATTCCTAAACAGTGAGCTGTTGGCTCTTGGACAGTGAAAGACTTTAAATTCCCATGAGCACCGAATCTTGCTTG